ATTATCACGATGTTGAGTAAAAATTCCGGTTTTTCATAAAATTTTTTTTAGTGGTTTTCCCTTCACTTTTGAAAACTATACTGGGAATATTATTCTATAGGTTTACAATTATTTTTAATTAATGTTGAATTTCCACTATTCCTTATCACATCAAATTTACATATTATCTAATAATGTTTTATTCAGTTGATTAATCATTTATTAATCATTTACATATTATTATATAGTTACAACTTTTTTGTTACATTGATGCATTCACCATGTATTAAAACTTAAAAGTAACCTACCTACCTATTTAAGTTATTGTAATTTATGCAGTTGTATGGTACCTATCTACGAAATTTAACGATAAGAAACCTAAAGACATTGTTTAATTATTGCAGACTGTAAAATATTATAATATATATTTTGTAGTAAACTGACATTTTAATTATTTTCTTTCTCAATGCTTAATACAATAATACTTCAAATATTTTTTGTGACTAAGTATTTATTAGTAAGATAGTACTATATAATAAATTATAGTATATTTTTAATTAAAATTGAATTCAGTAAAATAAACTGGATCAGACTATACAGTGTTCTTCATAATGTGATTAAATATATATTTGTGTTCAAGCTAAATATAATAAGTCAACCTACGAATAATATTTTTTAAATTGCAATAAAATATCTACAAAAAATTGATTTTTTGGTTGCAGCATGAATATCTTATGAGATACTTTGTTTTAAAATGTCAATCCTTAGCTATAAAAATTGAACATTTTATACATTTTTAACTACAAAATAATTTGTAAATTGTCAATAGGTAGAGTTTTATCAACACTTATTAATTTCAAATGCTTGTAAAAAAAACATACCTATAGATACCTTATGAGGTACTTTTTATTTAAACTCAAGCTTTTAGACCGAACGGGAAATTTTTTGTTTGAACTCATTGCTTTCAGTCCTGATCTCATTATAGTCATATCCTTTCACTAATCACTATACATAATACCGCTTTGTATGACAAACTAATTCCGTAACCGGCCAATTTATAGGATGATGCGTATTTCCGAAGAGGATCCAACAATTATTTATATATTTTGGTCCTGATAGACTATGTTTTATATACCTCATCTATTATAATAGCACTTTTGTTATGTAGGTACCTATATTTATTTATGTTATATTTATTAACTGTTATCAGTAGTTTTGGCCGTGTAGACCCTACACTGTAGGGCCATCTTAAACTGTAGTATATACCGTTGATACCTGTTGTTAGTTTTAATATGTAATTATTTCTTATTAATAATTGTTATGCCGTATTGTAAAATGCTGTTTGATGTAAAAAATTAAAAAGTGAATAAATAAATAATAATTTGCATGATTTACAGATATTAATGAATTATTATGTCAACTTTAAATGCTTATAAAAAAAATTCACTTGCATCATTAATATCTTAGAATTGCTAATACAACAACTTATGAAGAATCTAAAATTGTCAAGATTTTTGAAAAATTATAAATCAATATTTAAGGGAAAAACCTTAAATAATTGAAAATTAAAAATATCTATAAATAACTCAAAAAGGGTAAAAAATATTTTTTAAATTGTGTAATATATAGGAAATTATAAAATAAAAATTTTGTGAACAATTCAAGTACCCATATAAGCTTATTCGTTTTTAAATTACAACAAAATATCATAAATCGATTGAGGAGAAATCGAAATTTTCGGGTAAATATCTAATGTCATATTAATTTAAAATTCAAAATCTCATAGAAAAATAATTTAACTCTCTGGTAAAATTGTTTTGTTTGTTGAAGTAGAAAATCTTATGAAAAATCTTGTATTACATTTCCAAATCTTAAATATAAAAAGAAAAGTTTAAAAATATCTAACTCAAAATAATTTTTAAATTTTTATGATTTTGACAAATTTTATGGGACACTTTAAATTTTCACTATCAAACATTTATAAGATTTGTATTAAATTTTAGTTTTTTTACCGAGTAAACATTTTTTTTATCAACAATAATTTTAAAAAAACTAATAAATGTATTGGTACACACAAAAATTAAAAACAGATCATTGTAAAATCAATACATTCATCTCTCCGTTCGGAATCTAAAACATTTGTATTAATTTCAACTAAATACATAATATAATTTATGAAACGCATTATAGAAGTATACAATAGTAGATATTGTGAAGTATGACCTAAAGGCTAAGCTAAAGACACACGAAGCATAACTCGGCGCCATCTATTCTATTGTTACTCGTGTTTTTGGGGCGTTTGAAAAGTACCAACCACATTAGCTGCTAAAAATTGATTTGAAAGCCATGTCGATCACAGGGTCGTTATTATTTCCGTTTACCTTTGACAGTTAAATACATTGACATTACCTGTTCTAAATTTAAAATTACATCAACATATTATATAGGTAATATAATAATTTTACCATAAAATGTTTTCCTATTAATAGGTATTTAAATTTATTGAGTATATTTTCAATAACATTAGTACAAATTGTGGTTAAAAAGTATGCCATCGCGACAGTGTGCATTATAGTAAGTAGTTAGTTTTTATCAACACGTCTTTATAATTTTTATTTTGACTTTTTTATTTGATACATTTTACTATCATCAATATTTATAATATTTTAAAATTATTAACTCATATTGTCTCAATTTTAAATTTTTAAATATTTTATTTACATCACCTGTTAGCTATTATTAATAATTTAATAATTAATAATTATTGTTGCGTTTATGATTTTTCTAAAAATATTTTGTTATAGAAAATTAACATTTATGGTTTTTATAATTTTGTTATTTTTTTTTAAGATATTTAATATAATATTATTACCGAGTTCTATTTCACACTACTTCTCAGGTACGCCTACTATAAGTTTGAAAATTGATTTGTATTGTTATAATCTATGTATTTTTTAGTTAAAATAATATACCTAACCATTATTATTTAAAATTGATTCTTCATTTTCTTCTCTCCTCTTTTGCAGCTTATGGGATCGGCCACCCTTGTCAGTTTTTGTTTTTGTTGATTTTAAAAACATTTTTTTGCAAGAATAATAAGAAATAACTAATATTTTTTCAAATATTTAACCCCTTTTAACAATTTAACTTATTTTAACATAAACTTACATTGTTAACATAATAATATATACTTTATGCTAAATATATTTTTTAACTGTCTTCAAAACAAATTCATGCACTCATATATCAAAATTCATGGGTAGGTGTAATATAGTATATCATGTACTTAGCCAGAAAGTTGTTGATATATTAATGGCCTTTGAACCCCTACGACTGATAATGACTGTGAAAATACACTATATATAATAATAAAAACTAACCAACCGAATGTTGTTACGGATATTACATTACCGCGATTTACAAACACCGCGATGGCGTAGACGTATAAAGGTAATAGCAAGTGTATATTTTTTGGCGTGCAGTAATAATAATAATAATAAAAGTAAGTGTTTCGAAAACGAGAGGATACGAAGAAGAGTCGTATACAGAGAAAGAAAGAAAAAAAGAAACGTGCCGTGCAAAAAATAACACTAAACGGTTACACACACGGCGCGACGATGATGATGATAATAATAATAATAATAATATGTGTATTCGTATATTATATTGTGTACAATATAACACCATCTGTAATATACGTCCTATATAATATATTATTATTATTATATCGGCTTTGGGCTATACGGCCGCGATAAGTGCAATATAATGGGTTCGGTCGAGACGGACGGACGGGCGACGATGTAATAACACGAAATTAATAACGTAACGCGTTATTGAAGACGCATTAAAAGTAGATCATCCGTCGTCCGTGATCGAAATGACACAACTCCGTGCGCGCGAATCGTGGCGGTGGCGGCTGAGTGATGCGATAGAGACGACGGACGCGACGACGTGTACGAGTACCGTTTCTCATTCAATCGTTTTGTTATATTTTATATTTTTAACGCATCTATTTAGATCGCTGTGTGTGCGTGTGTGTGTGTGTGTGTAGGTACCTATGCGCTGTACAAACAGCGTTACGTAATTTTGCCACATTTTTTTGGACTGTCTGCCCGTGCGAGACACGACGACATATGCCTTTAATAATAATAATATCATAATAATATTGTAACCATCAGTGAAAATAATAATAATAATAGATAATAACAATAGTAACATAATATCGATATGACGCTCTCCGTTTCCCACATAAACGGCTGCATATCGTATGCACGTCCTGACGACTGCTAGCGTCCTTGTCCACGATTATAATAATATTATAATCATCATAGTCGTCATCTATTATCATCATCATAATCGTCATCGTCGTCGTTGTCGTACATATTATAGTCAAACTGCAGCATGTCCCAAGCTGGATACGAGCTACAACCCCCTCCCCCTTGGATTATACACCCACCCACCGATCATGAGTCGAGTTCTGTAAATGCTCCCGCCCACCCCCTCACCCGTCGTCACGACTAATATGTGCATAATATATTTAGTATTGTAATAATAAATACTGTTTGATATCATAACCAGACACAACATATTATTATATAGGTATAATACCTACGGCATATGAATGAATGGTGGAATGGCGAGGGGATGGTGTCATCACATAATTCGGCGTACATTTTCTTGGTTATCGTTATTATTATTATATTATACTGACGATGGGTAATTGACATCGAAACCTTTTCGGACAGCCGGTGGTGGTGGTGGGGCGACGTTGCTCAACCGCTCTCCAGGCCCGTCTCTTCGGGGTATATAATTCCATGGACCATACCCCAAGACCGCATCATTCGCATCATCGTCTGCCAAGTCACACACACTGTCTGCACCGAGTATACAAATCTTGAATCGTTATCGTGGTTGTCGTCGCTGTTGACACTTAGCTGCTGCTGCTGCTGCTGCCATTTTCGTCCTCAACGTCACTGTATACGAAGTCGTTCGCCGTCCATTTCGACAAACTCATCCGCAATATGAACGTGAGTAACCTACCTACACCTGAACCGTTTTATTTTTTTATCTCCCACAGTTTTTCTTCTATTATAATTATACAAGTTTTTCATCATAATACCTATATATATTATAATAGTATGCAGAATATATAATTATACAGTGAGTACCACTTAATATGATCACATTGGTTGAGGCCATTTCTATTATATTAACTAGTTGATACCATAAAGCATTTTTTTTCAATTTAATATTTGGTTTGGATTTTCATTTTTTATTCCAATAAATGGTTGATTCTAAAAACCAGTGATGATATTAAACGGAACTCACTGTATTACGTATATATAATACCTATTTTGGGTTGCATAAACAATTTATTAAATTGAATGGTTCACTAAAAATTTAATAGACCAATCATGGGCTACTAAATCTTGTTTAAGGGATCATTATCTCACTATTGATTCATTAAATGTTTTGTGCAACCCGGCACTAGTGTATTGATTGGGGACTGGAATAATCGAATTATGATTATAACGTTATACTTGACAATAAACGATGGAAATTTGTAAACGTTATTATAACGGAAAGCGATGACAAATAATAATTAAATACCCCAAAACAAAACATAACAATTAAGAGGATGCTACCCATGCATTTGTTGTCCCGTCTTACACTCTTACACAGGTACGAAATAGCACATTTTCGTTCACTAGTTTCAATAGTATGCTGTTAGTTTTGATATTAGAGTGATTTGACTTATCATCAATTTTTAGATAATAACATTATCTGTGCTTAAGCATTGGCTTGTATACAATATTTTAATTTTCAATCGAAATATGAGCATTTTTAATATTTCACATACCTATATATCTTGCTTGAAAATGAAAATTTCGAAAAATCTGAAATGCTTAAGCACAGATAATGTTCTTACCTAAAAGTTGTATAATAGGTCAATTCACTCTAGTATCAAAAATAACAGCACACTATTGAAACTAGTGAACGACAATTTATTATGTCGTGTGTGTATGTAAGACGGAGACAACACATGTATGGGTACGTCCTCTTAACAAAATATATTATATATCATTAAACAAAACATAACGCAAAACTTAATTTATAGGATATCATTGAACGATAAAGGACGCAAAACGATGTATTTTAAAATGTATTTATTTAAAAGGTCTATTAATGGTTTCGTATAAACATTTATTTCATGCAAACAATCTAAGAATTGATTATATTTTATTCTGTATCCGGGCCACTGTCTACCCGCATTAGTTATTATTTTAAAATGTCATAGGTATTAAAGGTGCTATTTTAAATAACGATAAACTTGGATAACTTTTTAAAGGCTTAAGTTGGATAACGCTTAAATTCTTAATGACGATAAACGTAAAAATTGTGTAACGTTTGAATTATATATAAGTAAAACCGAATTTGTTTTCAAATGCAAGCCTTGCGAATAGGTAATAACCAAGGAAAAAAATCATATTATATATTATTAATTCTGGTGTCAACATTCCTTTTTCTCGATGAATATAGCGTACCATATTCAATAATCCGAACACCAAACGTTATTGCCTCTGCTTCTGACATCGCTCAATCACTTTGCGTTAAAAATTACGTTTAACTGAAACCAAAGTTTACTATTAACCAACGTCTCTAGTAGGCCCATATTACAATAATCGATTACACTTTGATTACGCTTAAGTGCTTAACCCACTGATTTTACCGGCCGAATTCCACGGTTTAACCGTATATCGACTATTGTTCTAATGGATACGCAACTCACAAATACATTTTTCCTATTATAACAACCAAAAACGACTACAGGACGTAGAAAATAATCCCTTCTTCAAATACATTTTCAGATATTCAATATTAATTAAGCTTAATAAACAAACACCTAACATGCTCTTTCTATGGTTTTCGAAACGTACACTCGAAAAATAAATGTTTTCACAAACCTCACGAACATAATAAACATCATTTATTACACCTCTGTAATTGTACGCAATACTGCGCACGGACCAACTAGTAATATGTAATCTACTTAGATTTTTAAGAAATTGATAGATTGCAGAAGAACCACATTTAAATAATTATAATTATAATCTATATTGTAGAGAGATACGTCCACTAGCGTAAAATTAAACTACCAACGTGCAACGGCTGAAAATGTCCATAATTTTAAATCATTTTTTGAACTTAATATATTTTTTTAAATGTCACGTGGATAATTGCTATATTGTTTCTTAAGTCAAACACTTATGTTACAATTTAAAATGTACTAAATGTAGATTATAAGTATATTTTATCTGATATTTTGAAGACTTTCAATTTACATAAAATATTCTTTACAACGATTTGAATACAAAAAAAGTATTATTATTCCACACATTGTTTAAAATGCCCTATGGTTATATTTATATTTATTTTTAAAACGATGTGTACAATGTGTTGGCTAGAAATTAAGAGATAACATTGAAATAGCTACTGGAATATAAAAAAAACCACCGAGGTTTCAAAATAAATTAAAATTGCTGTATAATTACCTACACAAAACATTTTATAATCTATTATTATTGTTTATATACCTACAATATTGTTTTTGAAATTTAAGTTTTTTTAACTGAACATTACTAAAAATTTGACGAAACATGAAGAAACTCTATGCACAACTTTTTATAAAACCATTATCATCAAACAGAAAAATTCTTGTAATTACAAAAAAATTTAGATATCGATAATCAAACTAAAGCAATTATGATAAAATCCCGCTGTAATTCATAATCTATATGTAGGTATTTTACTATTTTATATCGTAGTTTAAATATTTTTAAAACGAGTAATTGCAAGTTTTGTTTTTATTGCCTTTATTTATGAAAGAATATGGGAAAAGTGGAAAACAATTAAACCTTTAAGAAATAAAAATTTAAAAAGTTTTACATTTTACTAAGACTTTTATCATTTTGAGTTGATATTAAAATATTCTTAGAATAAAAATGGGTATATAATACAACATACTGCGCTACATATTATGTAATATTCATGATAAATATTTTATTATATACACAATTTAACTATTAATAACGAAGACATTGTAAGCAATTTAAAATAGAACATTAAACCTAAATAAAGATAGGTATTTCTTAATATATGCAAGTTTTTTGAATTTGTCACATAGAACGAAATAGTAGATTATCTAATTCATTGTAGGTAAAACAAAAGAATGTATTTAAAATTCGAATATGTATAGAACACTATTATGTCATATTTAAAAAATAACATTATGTAGGTAGGTACGTATGTCTTTATATATAGAGTACACTATACACGATTATATTCATATGCATTCGTTCGTGTAGTGTTCATCTCAAAAAGTCAAAGATTATAATTAATTATAGGTACACAACAAAAAATCATAAGTTTACTTTTGTGCTCCAAATTTTCTTTAAAACAATTAATCATAATGTACCTATTGTAATGTGTAAACATTTGTAATATTTAACTATAGGAATAGGATTCGTTGAAGATAAAACTATTTAGCATTTATTACTTATTAAACATTGATTATACTTAGTCTTTGGAATAAACAAAATTGCCTTGACCATTGACTAAATATAAACCACTATACAATTATTATACTCAAGAGTATCTTAGAGTGTTCGAACTTTCTATGAACTATTTCAAGCTATTGAATTTAATTATCTTACCATTTAATATTTTAATGTATCAGGCTCTTCTAAGAATATTTATAATCAGTTAATAGTTATTAGTTATGTAGAATAAACCATGTACAATAGGTCTTATACGACATAGTATGTAGTATTCAAGGCTGGGCATTAAAGAGTTAAAGTTAAAGTTAAGTTACTTTTAAGTTTTAACTAAGTTCATTAACGAGTTACTTTTTTTTTAGAAGTAACTTCTAACTTAAAGAGTTACATTTTCCCCATGTTATTCAGTAATTTAACGAGTTAATTAATTTTATTGGCACATTATATTGTATACATATTTATTGGCAACAAGTTAATTTTTTCCCAAAACACATATTTAAAATAAATTAAATAAAAATAAACCCGAAATATTAAATATATTTTAGTAAATAATAATATTTATAATAATAGTAAGCTAGTATATTGCATATTCACAGAAAATATTATATAACTAAATTATAGACGTAAATGTTAGAGGGGTAACAGCGTCATTAATAAAAGAAAAATTTAACAATTTACTCAGTACCTAACCTATACGCTATACCTAATCATTAATAATATTATTACTTATTATATTTGTATTTATTCATAGAATTACAGCGATAACTTGGCCCGTTGGTGTAAATAATAGTATAATACCCGTAGTAGCGTGGTAGGTTTATCCTATTTACGTATTTCTAAATTCTTACTATTAATTGCATAATATTTGATATTATATTATATTATTCTAATAAATAATAATGAATTTGATTATTATAATATTTAGTATAGTTGTGAACCATTTACGTAAACAAATACGTTGTTATTATAAATTTCTTAAGATATTTTTATATATTTTTTTGATCAATTTTCATTCATTTTAGATTCTGAATGGAGTGATGGAAGTATTGCTTTTACAATGATGTGTCTTTTTTAATCATCTTTTAGGACAGAAAAAATGCTTAGTTTTTCTTCAATAGACATTTTCTGATAGTAAAGTGAACCTAGTTGTTACATGGAGGGAAGGGGAATCAAAAGTAAAAACTCCCAATAGTTTTCAAGACCAGCTAGAAAAACAAACAAAAAATTAAGGAAAAACTTCTCAAGAAAATTAATTTTGGTTTTTGGTGTAACTCTAAAACAAATTACAGTAGATACATGAAATGTTGACTGAATGTTTATATTAGCATTTGCTATATACCATAACATTTTCAAAATATTTTGACTTGTTTTGAGCTGTTTACAGACATTTTCAGTTTCCAATTTTTAGAGTTTTTTTAGTTTTTTTACAGTTTATTAGTTGAATACAAGGCTCATGATATATTGTTACAACTGCAGTTAAAAAATTAAAAATTCATATTTTTTTTATAAGCATTTAAAGTTCAGATGTTGACAACATTTATCAAACTTAAAGTTTAAAAATTAAAAATGTATCAAAGATTCAAATTTTATAGATAAGAATTGAAAATTTAAAATAAGATTCCCCTTAAATAGGTTATCATGTAACGATAAAATATAAAAATATAAAAACACAGTTTTTTTATAGTTAAATTGTGTTGAAATTTAGACGAAATTAGAATATATTTAAACGAAGAAGAAGAAGAATTTTAGTTTTATATTTTATTTTAAAATAATTATTCATTGGTATTTGAAACTTTTAAAGTATATTATTATATACAAATACGATAATAATCAAATAATATTAATTCAAATTATCCGGCTACTGTATTAATAATAAATAATAACAATATAAATAGTATATAAAATATCCTAGGCAGACAAACCGTCTCCACTCAGAATCGTTTTTGTATATAATGTTATTATATCATTGAATTAAAATTTAACACCATCCATTACATTCACCCACTTATAACCTACTGTACAGTAGAGCGACATCCACTTACCCGCTCTTTAATTTTTAGAGTTAAAAATTACACAATTTAAAGTCAGATCAATACTAATAATAATGTATTAATAATTTAAATAAATTTAAAATTGAATATTTTTTAATTTGTTATAAAAATAAAATCAATTTTCATCAAATATACGGTTTCGGTGTAATTTTAACCAAACAATAAACATATTTACTCAAGATTTTTTAAATAAAACATTTTCAAACTTATATTTAAATTAATATTAATTTTACGTAATTATTTTATTTTAGCGAGCACTAATAATACTGCTTCTATCAATTGTATTTGTTGTTGCTGAATCACCATATGGTGGTGGAAGTAGCAACAGCAATGGAAACGGTAGAAATGGAGGATACGGAGGCAAAGGACAATATGGTGGAGGAAATGGCGGTGGAGTAGGATCATCATCAGCCAGTCCGTTTTTCAGCGGTGCCAATCAATATGGATCTCAATCTGGTTTGTCAGGAGCATCTAACAATCGTTATCCTTCATTTGGATCTAAATTTGGAGGTAACAAAGGAAGCTATGGAGGATCTAGTTCTCGCAACAATGGTCGATACGGTAGTGGATCGACGAGTGGTTATGGAAGTGGATCTTCGGGTAATCTTGGTAGCACTGGAAGGTCAACTGGAGGTTATGGAGGTGGATCATCAGGAAGTTATGGAAGTGGATCGTCTGGAAGTTATTCAGGTGGTTCCCCAAGTAGTTATGGAAGTGGTTCATCTGGTAGTTTAGGTAGTTCTACTGGATCAAATGGAATATATGGAACCGGCTCTTCGGGAGGTTTTGGCAGTGGATCATCTGGAAGCTATGGAGGAGGTTCTTCAGGAGGTTTTGGCAGTGGATCGTCTGGAAGCTATGGAGGCAGTTCTTCAGGAGGCTTCGGCAGTGGATCACCAGGAAGCTATGGAGGAGGGTCTTCAGGTGGCTTCGGCAGTGGATCATCCGGAAATTACGGAAGTGGTTCCTCTGGGAGTTATGGAAGTGGTGGTGGAGGACTTGGTGGAGCATCTTCAGGAAATAACGATGGTTATGGAGCTGGAGGTTCCGGATCATATGACCAACTTGGGGGAGCCAATGGTAATGGACTTGGTGGATCAGGAAACGATCCTCTCTCGGTAAGTTTACATTATAAATACAATTTTAATTTAATAAATAAAAATATTTTTTTTTATTATTATAATTATTCCAAGTAATAATATAATTATAAAATTATCCTATAAATAATTATTTGTAGTTAGTAGTCATTTTGTTAAATGGGTACTACTTAGAGTAATTTATTTAAGATAGTATATTCTAAACTTTCTTAACTATACTAAATCTGTACTACTATGTCTACTATTATTACTACCTACTACTATTTTTTGTTTTTAGGAAAACTTTAATAGGTACTAAATAATAAAACAATCAAACTTAACTAAACCTAGATAAATATTTAAATAATTGTGATTATATTCACCATAATATAAGATTTAAAAAAATTTAATTTAAATTTAGGTGTTTTTGTTTTATCCAGTTTGTAAATTTGCTTCACAATCATGAGCCTTAATATTTTAAAACTATTAATTTTTCATTACAGTTAAGAATAATTTATTAAATTCTCGTATTTGCAGTTCAAATTGATCCCAAATATTTTGATTACATAAGGATAAAATTAAACCTTATATTATTTCTAAATTAATAATATTATAATAATAACACTTACCTGTATAATATATAATATAGGCAATTAATAATAATAATTTCTAGACATTATATTACTTTTTAATACTTCATATGAATAGTGATTACAAATGTATAGAGTGATCCATTTATGGTTAATTATATCGATAAATATTTTGATTAATGATTTTATTTTAACATTATTATTATAAAAAACTTATAATTTTTCTTAATTCATTGATTATATTGTAATAAACTAATATATACCTATATATATATAATGTATATTTAATTGTATTAGTTTTTATTCATAACATCTGATTAATAAATTATATTTTGTATAGGAACCTGCAAATTATGAATTTTCCTACGAAGTTAATGCTCCAGAATCCGGTGCTATTTTTGGTCATAAAGAAAGTCGTCAAGGTGAAGAAGCTACTGGAGTGTATCATGTACTACTACCCGATGGTCGAACACAAATTGTTGAATACGAAGCTGATGAAGATGGATATAAACCTAAAATTACATATACCGACCCTGTAGGAGGATATGCTGGTGATCGTCAATCAGGAAATAGCTATGGTGGAAATGGGGGCTTTGGTGGTTCAGGAAGCTTAGGGGGAAGTGGTGGTAATCTAGGAGGTCTGTACAATAATGTTAATGGCGGGGGATCTAGCAGCAATGGTGGTGCGTATGGTGGTTCAAGTGGTAGTATTGGTAGTAGATATGGTGGATCAGGAGGTTCCAGTGGATATGGTGGGTCTGGTAGTTCAAGTGGTGGTCTAGGAAGTAGCTATGGAGGATCGGGAAGCTTAAACGGTGGTCTAGGTGGTGGATATGGAGGATCTGGAAGTTCAAGCGGGGGTCTAGGCGGTGGATATGGTAGCTCCGGTGGATCAAGTGGTAGCACTGGAGGAGGATTTGGTGGACCAGGCGGATCAGGTGGTTCTAGTGGAAGTGGATATGGTGGTTCTGGTAGTTCAAGCGGTGGTCTGGGAAATAGCTATGGTGGATCAGGAAGCTCAAATGGGGGTTTAGGAGGTGGATATAGTGGATCCGGTGCTTCAAGTGGTGGCCTAGGTGGTGGGTATGGAGCATCAAGTGGTTCTAGTGGAAGTGGATTAGGAGGTGGATATGGTGGTTCTGGTAGTTCAAGCGGTGGTCTAGGAAGTAGCTATGGGGGATCGGGAAGCACAAATGGGGGTCTAGGAGGTGGATATGGAGGATTAGGAAGCTCAAGCGGTGGGCTAGGTGGTGGATATGGAGGATCTGGAAGTTCAAATGGAGGTATAGGAGGTGGATATGGAGGATCCAGTGGTTCAAGCGGTGGTCTAGGAGGTGGTTATGGAGGATCGGGAAGCTCAAGTGGGGGTCTTGGAGGTGGATATGGAGGATCGGGAAGCTCAAGTGGGGGTCTTGGAGGTGGATATGGAGGATCGGGAAGCTCAAGTGGGAGTCTTGGAGGTGGATATGGAGGATCAGGAGGTTCAAATAATGGTTTAGGAAGTAGCTATGGAGGATCAGGAAGTTCAAGTGGTGGTCTAGGAGGTGGTTATGGAGGATTAGGAAGCTCAAGTGGTGGGCTAGGTGGTGGATATGGAGGATCAGGTGGTTCAAATGGAGGTATAGGAGGTGGGTATGGAGGTTCAAGTGGTTCAGGTGGTTCTCAAGGAAGTGCTTATGGAGGATCTGGTAGTTCAAGTGGTAGTCTAGGAGGTGGGTATGGTAGCTCCAGTGGTTCAAGTAGTGGTCTAGGTGGATCCTATGGTAGTAATCGTAATGGTTTAGGAAGTGGGTCATCTTATTAATACTATATTTATTGCTCAAAAATGTATGATTATCTTGTTAGAAAATCTTAACCAAACTTATTTATTTATTAAATGAATAAATATAACTATACCATTTTTTAGTTGTATCGGTATTAGGTACTATTCCATCTATAGTATTATAAAGATTTGATTTTATACTTGTGTATTTTGCACAGTTTATTCTTTAGTTACTTTACATTCATTCTGTATTGCTATTGAGCTACGCATATTTGTATGTATAAATCGCATTTCTTTTTTTTATTGGTGAAATGTACAATTTGCTATTATTTTTAGAAATATGGTGATAATATGTTTGTTAATTTTATAATCATATTATATTTAACATCAATTTAATAATTTTAATACTTGTTTAATATATTATCGTTTTATTTGAATAAACCTTATTTGTCTATGAAATGTTTTTTTTTATATATTTTTTGTACTTTACGGCATATTCTGGCATATTAATATTAAATATAATTTGTTTAATACATTTATAATCACTGAAATACTGAATACAGAATTTGCTACAAATCGTATACTTTTGGAAGAGTAGATAAAACTCATTAGGTAGCTCTAAGCGAATATTACTTATCGATACTATGAACGGTATAAAAAGTTACTGCCACAAACCAGTGTAAAAAATCATAGATTCACCTAACACATTACAATTATTTATGTAAATATAAGTATATTTACCATATGTTTGCGTAGAATAAAACCATACGGGTAGTATTGATTTGGTTAAAATTAGTTGGCATATATATTAGGTTACCTAGTATCAATATAACGCGTATTAATATTGGTTATTATTTGGTAAAAAATACTTTTAAGTTTTAACATTGATTACCTGAATTATTAATATTTGCATTACCCTTAAATTAATTAAAATGTATACCAGTATTACATATATACTTTCAGCAGTCCAAAGCCCCTAGATTTATTAATTTTTTAGCACACGGAACAAAACCTGTTTATTTTGAATTTCGTAAACAAGTATTTCTTGGAAATTTAATGCGATGTTGAATAGTTTTGGAGTTAAAGCAAAAAAACAATCGATTTTGTCGAATACTTTTTCTAAATTTCTAATTTCTAATTTTCCTTATTTTTTTTTTGTTTTTACTTACGATTTGAAAACTCTTTGTAATATCTTACTTTACCAACTAGATTCGCTTCCCTACCAGAAAATATGCTGAAGTATTAAATTGTAGTATATTTACTACTCCAAAAGGTGAAGTAGAAAAAAATTTAACACCAGTCATATATTTATTTTTGTCGTGTGGGAACTTACATTCACCCTTATTCGCACATCTAACCTGTTCCACTACGACATCAATAATACATTTCGAACAATCAAATAAATAATATGATAAAACTATTGCTTTAATAGCGTACCAAACAATATTAACAATTCAGTATTCACAATCTAAATAATATGTTTCATATTTTATCAATATCAGCCATCCTGTTTTAATTGTATATTTGTATAATATTATTATACGAGTAATATAATTGTATGTATTTGTACCTAACCATTAATACTGCTGTAATTATTGTCAGAACACTCAACATAAATAGTAATTATCACTATTTAGCTTTAAAAATATCACAATACTTATAGAATGTAGTATTATATAATATTAATAATTATATTTTATATTAATATGAGTGCCAACGACATGCATATGTTGTTCTACCCAAGCGGTGGCACATCCAAATTCCAAGTACTGAATAAGCAGTCAGCGCCCGACGTTGCTTAACTCGGACGAGAACTGTTTGTATTCAACGTGGTATGGTTGTTAGCAAACTTATTTTATAAACCGAGTGCATAGGCGTGTTTACGGGAGGGGCCGCGACCGGGTGGGCACTGATCCCCCCCCCACCGGCAGACTGTGCCTCCAACAAAATCATGCCAGGATAAAATAAAAGTCGTGCGGTGTGTACGTTGCAGTACCTACCTATAGATTTTGATTCATTGTCATTTTTTTAGTTACGCGCATTTATTGATTAGTGATTGGATTATCATATAATATAAGTTTATATTCTATTTTTATCAACAATTTACTTTATTATGTATCTGTTTTTAATTTAGTTTTAAATGTATTTTTTATTGTTTTGACAATGGTTATACTTTTTGATCATAATTAAAAAATATTCCTACCATTGTGAATTTTGTAAAATAAAAAATGACTGTTTCTTCATGTTTAAAAAAAAAATAGGTCCTACAATTTAAAATTTGTTGTGCCAGCTAGGCCACCAAAGTCTGAACACGCCTATGACCGAGTGTATATTATAGGTAGTATAGGTACGGTTAACTGAAAATCTTATAAAATTAGATTATATTATTATAATATTTATAATTTAAATAGCCATATATATAGGTCCAAATATACGAGTATAATATTATATTATATCTTATATAATATATATCAGAGATTGGCACCCGAATCATTTATTCGGGTTTCGACTTTCGGGTGCTGGATGTATTCGGGTGTTTAAAGTTTAATCACCGGGATAAAAAAAAAATCAAATAAACGTTCGGGTTTTAATAGCTGTTATTATTATTGGTTATCAGTAGCCTTGAACAACCACAACTTTTGATGGCTAAGCCCCCCCCCCCCCAAAAAAAAGGCAAGCCAAAAAAAAATTTAAAAAAAAAAGATTTATGTTATTTATAATAAAATATAAATTCCTAACGCACCAATGCCCAACATTTGTTTTAGACCGAACTTGGTTTATTAATGTACAGAAGTTGCATTTTCTAAGAAACTACAAGAACTAATACAATGGGAAATTAATTAGGTACCTGTTTACTTACCATTTGCCAAGTCGACGGATATAAAATTAACTAAAATGTTTAAAATAGGTAGACATTGAGCCGCAGAGAAATAAAAATAAAATATAAATTATGATTTTCCGGAAAACTGGTAGATATAGCCACAAATTACGATATTCGTACTAAATTATAATAATGCCACTTGGGAAGTTGGTTGGCAAATAATATTATATACTAGGTATTAATTATAAGTATTATTACTTATTAGTATTTATTTTGATATTTTTGTCACGAACTCACGACTGTCAATACGTTGCTTAGTTTTGTTGAGACCATGCCAATATTTTATATTTCTAATGGCTATAATTTGGATTTATTTTATACAATATACTAATAAAGTACAATATATGTTAGGTATAAGAAATAATTTAGTATTAGGCTATTTGGTTCACCCAGAATCAATTAATAATTTTATCGGATTTTATTTTCAAGAAAATAGATAACTATTGAATTTACCTACAATTGTTCCTGTTAATTTATTATTATTATTAAACAACTAACTACGGAATCGAACTCACTACAAGAAATACTACAAAATTATATATCACATGCAGATTGTAAAAAACAAAACTATTCGGATTTCGAGTTAACCAGAATGTTTTATTCGGGTGTTTTGAAAACAGAATCATTCAGGTTATATGGGTTTAGGGTTTCATGTGCTTGATTTTTTAAGGGTTTTTAAAAGTGTTAGAGGTTTCGATTAATTCGGGTGCAATGCCCTGGTATATACATACGTCATACATACATACATACATAATTTCAGTTCACTATAGGTAGGTATATCCAACATTTTATATTGGGACTGTTGGTACCTACTACTTAGTGCTACCTATTTAAAAATAATTTTAAATTATAAATTATAAATAATGGTTTTACTAAAGTAATATGAACGAAAAAATTATTTTAATATTTAGACAGGTTTTTTCAAACTTAAAACTGAATAAAGAAACGAATGACACCACGCGAATGAGTGAACAATATTAACCCAAAAACGAGTGCCACTCTATTTTATACTATTTTTTCATAGAAACATAATATTTGTTATCACACTTCACACATACATTTACATTTATTATAATATTATCCGTGCCATTAACTATTAAGACAGTGTACATTAATATATTGTATTATTATACAATTGTTGTTATGTACAGAGCAGCAGGGCCGGATTTAGAACAAGTGCCGCCCTAGGCCCTTTTAAATATGCCACCCCTACCCCAAGAAAAAAAATGTTGTAATTATTTCTAATAAAACTATTTCATTTTAAAGAAATTAGGTCAACAGTAATTATAAACAACACAAATAATTATAAATTATAATTAGGCATTATACTGCTACATTTTTAATCTTATACCTATGTTATCTATAATATTAAATATTATTTATATTACTATTAAATATTATATAATATTAATTTACGCAGTTACATAAATGCATAAAATATTTATATGACTTTTTTTTATTTCTTACAAAATTTGCCGCCCTAGGCCCGAGTCTCACGGGAGAGCAGGTAAGTACTTTTTATTTTTGTGTTATCGCGAACTAGAGGAGGAACCTCGTTAGCATTAGTTCTCCTCTAGCTCTCATCATTTATTGAAATAAAACAATGTTTACGACCATAACATTAATGTAATGCCCCGTGATCTGAGTACCTGACAGACTCGCCTCAGCGACTGCTGGTGTGTACGTGTCTGTCAGGAGGCCTTGGGCTTCACAGACAGAGCTGGTACCTATATTAATATACATATAGGCTATAGCTAGGTATACCATATTTGTAAATTTCTTTCTATAATTTTCTAGGAATGAAAATCGGTAGTTCTTAGAATAGTATATAACGCTGTATATTAATGTTAATAAATAATAAATATTAAATTTAAAATAAAATAATAATTCTACGAAAATGACATTACCTACTTAAAATCGTCCACACGCTTTCGAGAAACGTTTTCGTACATAGATAATAATAATATAATAGAAAAAAACATTTAAGTGACAATGTAAATATTATGAAGCCCTTACATTCAGGCTGAAGCCCCCCCCCCCCCACCATAAATACGTTACTGTCAACAACGGTGTGTAATAGATTCACATTCTAGTGGTTCATATTACTCTATTATATATTATAATACATTATTAATTGTAATTGTTTGTATACGCATTATGACAAGGAAAATAACACTCGACATCGTACACTGCGGCAATAACGCACGTCTAGTGACAGCCGACCATTACAATAATGGACAACATTTTCGTAACGTCGTAGTAGTAATAAAAAACAGTATAGACGTATCAATTGCAGGGTCCGTACATCGAAACATACTTACCTAGAATGGTAATTGGTATACGAAAAGAGAGAGACCACCACCCAGATTTGAAGTAGCAAACCACGTGTTTTGTACGTTTGAGATAAGGCATAGTTTTTTGTATTTAAAAAAATATTTGTAAAAGTGTGACAAATTGAAACAAGACCAAGCGGCTTTTTCAGTTTTTAGTGTTCGGCGGCATCGGCATGAACGGTCACACCGTGTTGCTGTTCACCATCATCGCTGTACAACTGTACTTGGCGTTCGACGAGGTCAGGTCGATGTGGGTCGAGGACGATGGGACCAATCATTTGCATACGCTGTCGACGAACATGATCGGCGCTATCAGCATTTTGCTGACGGCCCTGTGCAGCGTCCGACTGCGTCACATCCAGCATTCGCTGAGCCGCGTGGAACGGTCACTGCACTTCCAAGACAACCACAACCTTGGTCAAGGCGACAACGTTGTCACGGTCGGCCACTGGTCAATCGAATACCGTACCCGCGGTTGGCTGGCTCTGGCCGTCGTCGTGTTCGGTTACCTCAAGTACGGTCTGCTGATGGAGCACGGTCGGAAGTCCGCGTACGCGTCGGCTGTCGTGGCGTTGCTCAGCACGATATCGTTAGCCGGCAACTATTACGTGACGCTCATGTTTGTGGATCACGTGTTTTTCGCCAAAAGGTCAGTAACAACTAACATGGGTATTATTAAAATAACACTAGATTCAACGTGATATCATTCGCGTAACCTGTGGTAGAGGAGTCTTTAACTTTGCGTTCTGAATTGAACATACTTTATTCAATAGGATTTCAAAAAGATCTGATGATAAGGTTTGTTTTGATTAAATAACAAGTTTAAAACTTGTGCTTTAGATAATATTTATGTATAAGTAAGTACTAATACATCACATACTATTAGGTTTAGTTTAAATACCACAATGTAATGTTAATTTATTAAATCATATTAACTATTATTAGATAATAGATTTAAGTATGAAATTATGTAGTTATTTCAGGAAATATCTAGGTACCTTATAAGCTAACCAAATTAAGGCGATAAAGTATAATTTAACTAGATATTTTATAAATTCATAATAACCATTTCGTGGTTATTCAGTAATATGTGTCCATTGAAATTCGTTAAGATAAAATATTAGATTCCTATAACTTACAGTGAATTAGTTGGTGTAGTTACTCGTTTTCGTTATCAATATAAGAGATACGACGATTAAATTAGTTATTGTAATTAATAATAAATAAATAATAAAAATAAAAGTGATACATACTAGGTACCAGATAAATTACAGATAAATTAATATTAATACATAGTCAAGATACATATAGTCAGGAAGAAATTGGAGTGTATCGATACACATCGGGGCAATTTATTTTGGCCGTTCAAGAAGTTACACGTGTAATAAACAAGCGATAGGTACCTACTGAACAGTATCGGACTCAAACTTCGATATGAGTCGGTACGTAACTATTTTCTGTGGATACGTATTGAATTTTTCTTCTTGACCAAAGAATATGGATATTAGAGTATTATATTATGTACAAATAGCCAATAGGTACCATTAAACAATTTAATTACAGACTATGAAATCTGACGATCTAATTATTTTTTTAAGGAAGTTTTCACTTAAGAACAACTTAAATTTTAAATCAATATTTATAAATAATACACACATTTAATTTTTAACGCATAAGATTAGTTTACAAAAATAATAATTTAATAAATAAATAATAATTTAAAATTACAATTTCAAGGTATCAATATCCATTAGATCCTTGTCCAGCAGACTCTGATGAAAATCCTCCTGGAGAACTTTTTCCAAATCCATTATTCTGTCCGGATCCGGAAAAATCTGATTCCCCGTATTGCCCAGATCCAAAACCGTTACCACGTAAGCTGGAACCAATACCATTTTGTGAACCATACGGAGAAGAACCTCCCCCATGAGAACCAAATCCTCCACTATTTTGTCCACTGTATGAACCAGAACCACCACCATTTTGACCGCCTTGAGTGCCAGAACCACCAACATTTTGACTGCCATAAGAGCCAAAACCTCCATTGTTTTGGCCACCGTAGGAGCCAGAACCTCCACCATTTTGACTGCCATAGTTGTTAGATCCTCGAGAACTAGCTTCATTCGGCCCACCGAATTGTCCTCGACCATTACGTCCGGATTTTCCAAAAAAGCTGTTGAAACTAACTTTAGCGGCTGGAGGAGCATTTTGATTTGGATTAAAATTTCCACCACTGGATCCAAAATTTCCATTATTACCTCCTAAAGCACCACCTCCATATCCACTATTACCACCTAAACCTCCGTTACCGTATCCTCCACTACCTCCGGAACCTCCATTTCCATATCCTCCACTGCCCCCTAGACCACCATTCCCATAACCTCCACTACCTCCCGTACCGCCATTTCCCCGGCCACCATTACCTCCATTTCCATATCCTCCACCACCACCGCCACCACTACTACCAAAACCTCCATTACCATATCCTCCAGATCCACCAAAACCACTACTACCACCAAAACCTCCATTTCCATATCCTCCAGATCCCCCTAAACCACCAAAACCTCCATTTCCATATCCTCCAGCTCCACTCGAACCACCATTACCACCAAAACCACCATTTCCATATCCTCCAGCTCCACTCGAAACACCACTACCACCAAAACCCCCACTCCCATATCCTCCACCACCTCCTGAACCTCCAGCTCCACTCGAAACACCACTACTGCCAAAACCCCCACTTCCATATCCTCCACCGCCTCCTGAACCTCCACTTCCATATTCTCCATTACCACCACTGCTTCCAAAGCCATTGCTTCCACCCCCATAATTTCCACCGCCATTGGAACCACTATTTAAACCACTGGATCCACTTCCATATCCTCCAAAACCATTGTTGGATCCACCATAGCCACCGTTATTATCATTAGGGCCACAATTTATGGCACCTGCATTTTGACTTCCAGGATTTCTTGTGTTTCCATTGAAACCATTCCCATAGCCACCCTTTCCGCCTTGACCTTGGCCAAGACTGCTAGATGCGGGACTATAACCATTTACGCCAGAACCACCATTTGGTCTTCCGGATGCAGTCGACCTTCCTGTAGAAGCAGATGCACCATATTTTCCATTTTGAGATGAATAACTTCCTTGTCCTCCTGACTGTTCATATTGCTGGCAAACACACAACCTCAATAGACATCCCACAATAATTAATTTCTGAAACAAACATAAATCTACTTATTTAGGTATATATTTCCAAACTCATTTATTTGGAAAGGGTAATATTACTAATGTATCAACATTATGTATTTGACAATAAAACATATTATAATATATAAAATATAATAATAAATAATAAATAATAAATAATAACCTAAAATTAAATTAAATGCTTAACGTAACCTGAATTACTTAAAAAATTACTAATTTATAGAATAGAATATAAATAAATAAAAAGTTAATCTGTAACACAAAATCTAAATTAATATTTCATAAACTCAAGTCATAAATGACTTAATCTGATCTATTATCATATCCTTCAATATATTTAAATAACTCAGTCTAGGCTACAAGACATAATGTAAAACATTCACAATTTATCTGCTTATATATAATATATAATATATACCTATATATTTTTTATGTAAATGCTATTATGTTAATCAATTTACATATATTAAGTTAGCACATATGCAAGTAAAGATCTTACGTGATTTCAGTACATAAACATATCTTATAGGGAAAACTCACGCTTCGTAAAATAGTCAGATTTCTTTCATTTTTGAAATATGAAGGTTTATTCACATTAGGCTCTATTTTCAGAAACGGTATATGTACCACACATTTTCTGCCATTATTTTATGTTAATTTAAAAACAAAAATCTAATACGAACTATAAATTAGGAAGGCTGGAGCGTATCATGTTTATTCAAGGGGTATTATGACATGTACATTTGGGCTATGCCAATGGGTGAGTAATAAATGAACATAAGTGTGTGTTTCTGAGCAAAGTTGTCACACACGTACATAGGTACGTGTTATTACATTGAGAAAAATAAAATATATTATTCTTGTTACATAACTATAAAAACTTCTAAAAGCGTTTGAAATTTAAACAGAAGTTCGATTGTTAAAAAAAATTGTTGAATTTATAAGCTTCTAGACTTCTTTAGGAATCAATTTTTTGATCTAAAATTAGATGTCTCCGAAATAAATACAAATGTAATGAAATCATTTTATGGGATTTTTAAAAATAATATTATAATTTTAATGTCCTTTAAAATTGCAAATTGAAAATCGACTTTCTAAAAAACCCTAGATATTTTGTTAAAGAATTCATACATATATAAAAAATTTAAATAGGACATTCCGAAGTATGTATAGTTTTTAATTTAAAACCGCTTATTGGTCTAAAACGTAGGTATGAAAAATACGTGTGCTTCGATCCCTTTAAGTTTTACTCTTTCAAATACAACAAAAAAAGATAAAATTACGACGAATCTACGATGCGTAAATCGTTTTTCCTATTTAAGTTGTTTTTGATTACAATTTTCTATACACCATTTTGTACGACCCCGCGTCACGTGATTATAAATTTCATTAACTGAAGTAAAACTTCTTTCTTGAGGTGTGGGTGGAAAAAAATCGTAACGAAAAGTGAAACGATAAGTTTGTTTATTTATTTATATATGTCCATAAAGAAACCATTAATAAACAAAAATGTCTATCGTACACTAGATATGTTTTTATTATATTGCTTTTTCTCACTCTCTCTCTCTCATTCACTTATAATTATTAATTTCAAGGGCCCAATTATTTATGAAAGAAGTTTTACTTCACCAGAGTGTAATGGGCTCACACACTCTCTTACTTTTTTTTACCCTTAATATATAGCCTCAATACGCATAACCAAAATAACTTACAGTAAAAAGTTTAAAAAAAAAAATTGCGTTTGGAAATTAATATTTTAAACGTTTAATTAGTAAATAATAAATAGGTAATATAAAATACATTTTAACATTTATTGTGTCAACAACCAAAATAATAACCAACATTCGTTGACCGTTACAATTATAACATTATATGTACCTACCTAATTACATTATATTATAACAATGAAATTAAAAATGTTTATTTTTAAGTATTTTTAACTTATTATTTTAAAGATTGTAATAATTCAAAAACATCAAAACCTACACCACAAGATTTATACAATATATATTATATGTGCAATGATAATATCCACCTGCAGTGGTCTGAAGTACCCAAATAAATTATCATGTTTACAACAGGTAACATAACTAACAGATTGCTCTATGTGCGAAAACTTTTCATGAAAGGAGTGTAGTAGTATCTACTTAATAATAATGAGAATGAGTAATAAAATTCAAAAGGCTGCAAGTGTCTGCAGTAGTTCTTAAGTTGACCACTGTTCCTGTGTGGCTGTCTAAAAGTAGTACGTATGTCGTGTAATGTGTATTAAAATCTCGACATTAAGATAGACTTATTGAACTACCTACGTTGATTATATAAATAAGTCGAATCTCAGTAACTCGAATTTTATTTTATTATATTTTATTTATTTATATATAGACTCTGATCTGTATATATCTATTTTATTTTATATAATAAATCTACTCATGATTTCTTACCATTTGTTCGTATTTATCTAATTGTGGTTGTATGCCACTAAAAAAACAAAAGTAACTCGAATAATTTAAATTCCCATTCAAATGTCCGTATATCACTATTATAATGTTTAAATAATCTTATTAACTCGAAAATCAATCGGGCAAGTTTTCGATATTGGAATTTTCCTATGTAGATTAGTTCAGCTTATCGATTAATATTATATTTTATCTGGTTCGTAAAGTCCAACCATTTACAATAAAGTTAAGTTTTAGTTCTTTGCATACGTTTATTCAATTGTTTATCCTTATGGCTTATGACATGTGTTAAACGTGTTATTATGGCTCAAAAAATAAAACTAGCAACATTTTCCTTTAAGGGAAAAATGAAATTGTTTAAAAATTTTGAAAAAGGCAAACTAAGTTTGAGACTTTCAAAAAGCGAACGATGAAAGAAATTAAGAAAAATTATTTAAATATATTGAAAGCCATGATGGTATTGAAGATTTTTTTAACCACTCAATTATATATAGAATAATATAGTTGATAAGAATATATTAAATAAATAAAAACAAAAACCGTACCTATGACCGATATTCTTTAAAAAAAATGAACAATAATTTAAGTAAAAGAATAAAATTGTAATTTTGTATCTTTTTCTAATTCTTTAATAGCTATTGTAATTTATTTAAAAAAATAATTGTTTTTAACATTACATACACACAACTTTCAGTTACCCAGAGTCGACTGTGCAACACTATAACTACGTAATGCATCGTGTGCGATGTTATAGCCTGGTTCATATAGGTAAGTCGTCTGTCGTGTCGTGTCGTGCGCCATTTTATCGTACTCCGACCGACCGTTGTAATCACGGTATCAACACTCACTAACCGCGATCTACCGTCAAATTTACAGCAGGCGATCTCCTCACTTGGACACGACACTTCACGACACACGACGTGGCCTGTAACGGCTTGACACCACTTAGAAACTATAAGTCGTTAATAGAATACGATCGTTACCTCAGCGGTCATCATCGTGGCGGACACGCGATGGCGCGGAGTGCGCTTGTCGCGAATTGGCGGGATGCGTCCGGTTCGGCCGTCACGTGAACGAGATGGACGGCTGTTGTGGAACGTCGTACCGTATGACCGGCAGGGGCGTGGACGTGTGCGTACGTTTGGAAGGCGGTTGAGCGAACGACGGAGACGACGGCGACGGTGGTTGTCACTTAAACGGTCGGAAGCGTGCGAGTGTTGTGGATCATGCGGTGTCCGGCGTTATATATACGCAGCACGCGGCCGACCGGCACTGGAGAGGCCGGAGAAAAGTGTGCCGCGACTCGCGAGCGTTTCGTGTGCGCGGCCTTCCGAGCAGCCGAGGAACAATAATAAATTATAAAATTATAACAAACGATAATGATGTCACTCACCGCAACCTTTTTCTCGACGTTTACGACACCATCACGAAGGGTCGTCTCGAAGCGCACGTACAATAGGCGCCGATGACGTAGTCGCACGCGACGCACCGTCTGCGCCGTGCACAGTCTTTCAGACAAAATCTGTTCGGGCGGCGGCGGTGAATCGGTTCGCTGTTTGAAAAGCGCGACGGTAGCGATTTAGGGCCTTGAGAGGATGACTGCCGAGTCACACCCATTATGTCATATTATTACCTATTATTTTTATTATCGTCTCCACCGTACGGGATAAGTCTACGGCAAATTCACCGGACGAGACAAACGGAAAAAAGGAAACCAGTCACCGCAGACGATAACATTTATATATTATATTAAGTTTATATTACAATACAAGTAGTCTCGAGGACTTTGCCGCCGTCTGTCAGTCACTATCACGCACAACGACCTTCAGTGCCCGTCAAACCACCACCGACCCCTACCCCCCCCCACACCACGCCTACCACATAAAGGTGACGCTTAATATTATAATGTGTATATAATAGATCAAAATATGATAGGGAGATATAACAATAGAGAAATGAAAACTTTTGTAAATACATTTTCAGTTTTAGTTGGTGATTTTTTTCCTAAAAATGATCTAGTCCGGAAGTTTTCTTTATACGTTTTATAGAAATGACATGTTTACTTTTACTATAAAATTATGATGACCATATAATGTTACAACTTATAACAAATTATACAACTAACACCATGAAGGTACTGGTACAACAAATATTAATTTCAGAATAAATGTTTCAACGTCTCTTGGCATTCATTTTTGTATTCATTTTTCTGAACTACGATATAATACATAATATACTGCAGTGAATAGTGCTATACGCCAATAATTAGTATTCTTTACTGGCTCGTACCTTCTGCCATCTTTCGTACTGCAATATTTTGTATCGATAAACTATAAAGTAAAGCAATAGTAGTTGATACATTTTTATATTTACGTTTTTTTTGTATTTTAGTTTTATAATATATTATAATTTATTTGTAATTTTTTAAAAACTAAATGAAAAAGAGAAAAGTTTCTTAAACATGAGCATGTTTCAATTCTTTGATTGTCATCCTTTATAAGTTGAGTAAGTATCTGAACTGTTGTAGCCTGTAGGCATACAATATTAATTGAAAGAAAAACGGATTAGTATTATGATAATATTAGTTAGTAGTTTAGTACACACAAGTACACAACTATACTGTCTACTACACAAGAGATAAGACGTTATACATCCATATATACAATTTTCATTATTTATTCGGTGATATTATTAAATATATCATATATATATAATAGTAAATAGTACAGGAAATATAGAAATATAGGATTTTTGTAATGATAATATTTAATAAAACCTACTGGTTTGTATCTAAACTTTTATAGCTCTGACCAAGACCCTATTTCTGTATATCTATTATACCTTCTGTACCTAATATTCTTGTTCATATTTTGTATAATATAAATATTAAATTATAATACTTCCTAACAGAAAATTATAAGTAGGTAAGCAATACGTATAAATAATAAACGTGACAGTAGCACAAGATATAAATTGTTACACTTAAATTTTCACTTACGTTATATTCGACTAAACGTTTGTCTTATGGTGGTATAGATTGTAGAGAGAAAATAACAAGTGTATAACAATATATAACATTATATAATATATAAATTTAAATATTTATATTTTATATATATAAACGGTTTACAATATTTTTTTTATATATATATTAGGTAGCCACGATGCCGTCTGTAAAATATAGTATAATATTATATTATTTGTAGTTTTCGCTGTTCAAACTTCATAGGGAAATATTAATAATTATTTTCTATGTTTAATAGTAATACAGTACCTATAGCCTTTACTTCATATTATAGCGGTAACGTCAGATCATTTAGAGTTGACTAGCTACTCTGCGAATGGTTTTTGCATTCCTAATAAAACTACTATAAATATCTACCTATATTTACAGGTACACAAGAAGTCAATTTAAAATGATATTCTATAAATTACGTTTTGCGTCATGTTTTGTTTAATGATTTATAATATATTTTGTAAATCGTTATGTTTTGTTTTGCGGTATTTAATTATTTTTGATTATCACTTTCCGTTATAATTACGTTTACAAATTTCAATAGTTTTTTGTTAAATATAATATTATAATCATAAATCAATACAATATTCTCTCATATAGATACATAACAATTTTAATACAATAATACCTACCAGAAATTTAAAAAAGTTTAAGCAAAGCCACATACATTTTTATGAGTTGAATGTCTACAAAATAACGTTAAATAATTATCATAACAAATTGAAACATTCCACCATTACTTAAATTATATAACAATATTTAAATATTATATTATAAAATAACCTAAGAAATATAAGCTGACGGATTATCTGCCCTCAGGATTTTTTTTTATTGTACCTATACAATGATTAGGTAGGTAATTATTGAATTATAATTTGACACTTCCATTACAGTAAACTACGCGGTGATGGTTTACAAATTAAAATAGAGACACAGAGTACTAGAAACATTTATCTACTAAACAGCAGATTTCCTCGGTTTTTTATTTTTGTCATTCAGTTGTATGAAACTCATTTAGTTATTCATATTTCATAACAACGTGGCTGTATATTAGTGTGTACTATGTCTTATTCATATTTCGTATTATTATTTATATCTATCTGTCAACGGCGCTATGATAATAATATAAAATCCATTGGATTAGGGTCAAAAGTAACATACCTATAATCAAGCCTGGCCAAGTTAATGATAATTTTTAATTGATGTAAGTTAAGTTAATAGTAAACATTTAAAGAATTTTAAAGTTAATATAGTTATCCTAATTTGTTTTCACTCAGTTGAGTTAAAAGTTATATGGAAACTTACAATTTACTTATTAACTTAAGTTAAGTTTTTATTTTTTTTTTTTGAAATATATAAATAGCCAGCAATATGGTTTAAAATAATAAAAAGTACCTACATGTTCATGCAATATATGCATCATCAATAATAATTGCATTGTATTTATTATTTATAAATTAACGTAACTTGAATTTGATTAAAAGTAACACATTTTTTATTAAGTTTATATTAATAAAAATCAGTTAAGTTAAAAATTGCTCATGCTAAGTGTTGCTAATGGGTGAATTCTTACCCCCGTATATCCTGCTTGTTACTCTTGTTTAACTCTCTTTAAATACACTTCTTTGTGCTCTTAGTATAGATTGTGTAATTCTTATAAAAATAAAAATAATAAAAGAAAAGTTAAAAATTAAGTTCAATTTAAAATTAAACTTAACTTTAACTTTTTAACTTGTTTATGCACAGGCTTGCCTATAATACTCATACAGTGATATCGATAAATATGACAGGTAACTGGGTCCGAGTTACCACTTACAAGGACAGTGCATTTCATCTGTCTTTAATACCATTAGAGTTTAATAAATCTTTTCAATTTATCTTATCAACATTATTTTCCCGTAAGTAAATAATATAGTAATAATACGCACTCAGACTTAGCATTACTAAACCCATATAAATTATATACCAAGTATAATTTCGTAACGGCGCGGGCGAAAGCTATCATTCTAAACAGAATACCTGAACACGCTACCCATACAATATAATAGTTTAACGTTATTGTCTTTTCAGAGTGTTGTACAAGCTGAATGTTCAGATAATGGATTCACTCTGCTCGGTTTCGGCATCGTTTCTGTCGGGATTCTCCGTGTCTACCGCACGACTCGCGTACCTGGACATATGCGACGTTTGCACAACGCTAACGAGAGCGTTCCAAACGCAATTGTTCATCAACATCGTGGGCAACGTGTTTGGCATCACGTTCATGATGCTCTCCGCGTTTAACACGCTCATGTCCGACGGCGCGAACACCATCCGAATCACGCTGTACTTTCTTTACGAATCTCTGATACGCACGCTGCAGATGTACTTCATCATAGACGCTTGCCATACAACCGTCGAACAGGTACCCAACCATAAAAATATATTATGATAACATAATGCAACCAGACGACGACGATGACGCGTATATAGGTTGACCCGATCGACTTTATTAGGATATATTAGGACGCGAATCGCGTTGTTTTACACAACTACAATCCATATAGTATTTGATTTATTATTTAGTGTAGGTATACCTACACAGCACGTACAAACGAGTAGGTGTTAATATATTAATATAAAATATAAATTATTAATTATAATAGAGTATATTTATATTAAGTAACCAATCATTTTGTTTGAGACCATTTTTATGTCAGTAATGTACTTAATGAATCTGCGTATAACCTGTAACTTTGATCAATATATTTAAACCAAAATTAACTCAAAAATACTAGAAAATCAGTGGAGTAAAACGTTTACTATATAGTATAGAAACTTAAATGAGAGCATAAGTACAAATAGGTAACTTCAATCAATAAGTTAGTACCCGAGTTGGGTCACATACAATTTATTTATATTATTAGGCACTACTGCAATTTCAGTTTAACGTTCGCTTCTTCTAAAACAGAATTACTTGATATTTCGTATATCACTGCGCAATTTAGTTTGAGACAATCTCTTCGACTCAAGGTACATATACCTATGTCCCTGTGTGGTTCCTCTTAAAAGTTAAAGTCGTCAAACGATTATAATAAAACTCGGATATAGATATACAGTTTTTGGTCGGAAACACCTTTAATGGTATAACAAGGATCATAAAATAAAACACCTAGCCCTTGTTACAGTTGTCGCTTCATTCGCGTACAATCATCGCACATTCGCACCTACGATCCTGCTGAGTTTCATTGTAATTCGTACCTGCGAAAAAGGCGGCGTTTAATAATAAAATATAACGTCGCCTCAACACATATTGCTTCATTGGCAAGACCTAAATTAATTAGTTACTAACTAAAATAAATTCCCACATGAAAACTACACATATAATATTATAATTAAAAATTTACCATTATCTACAATATACGAATTTACCACTCAAAAATATACTAAATATGTATAGATATACGAATTTCGATTTACGAGAGTATAGATTAAACATAAATTTTATTATTACACATTTACACCTATAGTTGTTTAGAAGGTCCTTTTACATTTTATTTGAAATACAAACGAATGAAATGTTTGTTTTATTGAACATAAATCTAATAAAAACTGATTTGTTCATAGTTTGTTTCAATTGAAAATATTAATAATCATCTACTGTTTAGGCGAATTCCATAAGTATCACATTTCAAAAGAAAATTAACGAATATCATCAAGTAAACCTCACAAAAAGAAAGGTATGTTATATCGACAATTATAATACATTATATTATATTAAATAATTTTTCTGTATTCTGCAGTAATTATGTAAACATAATTACTATTTTCAAGTCAACCACCGGTTGGTCTGAAATACAAAGTTTGAAAGTTATCAATACGACCTAACAATAGAAAATATCTTTTGTCAAATCATTGAAATTAAAAAATATTATATAATTGTAGGTTCATGTAGATAAATGTCTATAATTAGGACATTTAATCTACAATAAACGTCGTATAAATGATTAATCGAATACCAAATAAATTAAAATAAAAGAGTCAAACTGTTGACCAAATGGTTCGGTACTATATTTTGGTATACAATGTTATTCAATAAAGTATATTACTTATAAGTTATAACTTTATAAGTAATAAATTATAATCCAACCAAAATTAGTTTTTTATTACCTATTTTAAGTTAAAGAAAAAAATTACAAGGCATTTTTAATTAAAAGTAAAATTAATACTTTTTTATTTGAACAGGTACAACTATTCATTTTGGAGATGTTGGATCATAAAATAGAGTTTGTTATTTATGGTTTTATTTGCTTGGACTTTGAAATGTTTGTATCGGTATGTCAGCATAAGTCTTACCACTATACTATAAGAACGAATTCTGTGAAATTGTAAATACTATAATTTCAGATAATAGGTACCATAGCTACGTATTTTTTGATTTTGGTACAATTAGGATCTTCGCCTGATGTCTTGGTTAAATCGTTGAACATCACAACAGCAACAACAATAACAAAAACAACAATACCCGGTGCATTCAGTACAAAATCAAACCACACTACACTCGCTTAAATAAAACAAAACATTTTCATTATGATCATTGTATTTTAAATTTTAGAACATAATAATATGTTAGTTATTTTGATAATGTAATGACATATTATAATTTATAATTACAAAATAAGGCATGCATATTTATCACGAAAGACACTGGGTTGGTTGTCTTTCAAAAAATTTAAAATACCGGTACATATGGTATAGGTATACCTACTTAGGTATAATTATGCACACATTTGTTACTATTGGGTAAATTGTACTAAAATACTTTTTACTATTAAATCACCTTTAAAAAGAAAAAATAAATACGTTTTTATATTTGTTTAACATTAACCTTAAGCCTGTGCAACTAAGAGAATAATAACAAGGTTTTTAGATGTGCTTTTCCAGGTTCATTGATGAAGGCCACTACTACTGTGGCATTATTATTTTTGACGTCTGTCCTTTGGTTAAAAACATAGGAAACTGTCAAACAGTGTTTATGATTTACATTTAAAAAAACTTTCAAATATAATTATATAAGTATCACGATCGTGATTTGTAAATAAAGCAAAGCCACATGAATAATATAGTTATAAACTTATCCAATGACATCGATTTAGATTGAAGTACCTTTTAATCCAATGTAAAATTAAATAATATAGGCGTTTATTGCAGTGGATATTTTATTTATATTATAAATATTTTGTTTAGATACCTATGGCGTGTGCATAATCTAATACGTCCACTATCTAGTTATCATAAGTTGTGTAGTTTTTGTGTTACTCTTCAGCCCCTCCCGAAATAAAATTCTGGATACGCGCCTGTAATATAATATTAGGTCTAGGTGTGTCCCCGTGCAATATTGTATGTTAGACAAATTAATTTAATTATTTTAATTAGATGTTAACAAAAAATAGGATTAAAAAATCCAATAAAAAAATTGTTTTGTGGTTAGAAATTTATTTTGTAACATGAGATATTCACTAGTAAATTAGGAAACGATTTCACATTTTTTTTAAATTTTAAAAGTATTGTTTTTTGTTTTTTTTTTTTGCAAGGTACAATTGTGAAGGTCCAAGATTTGTGGACATAAAACACTTCTTTAATTCTTTAAAAAATATTAAACACGATCCTTTTAGTTGTACATTTGAAAATTTAAATTTAATAAATGAAAGAAAAAATGGTTTTTTTTCGGAATTTATTTTCAAATGTGATTTATGCAATAAAATTGACATTATATCTAACGAGCCTAAGACAACTGACATTTCGTTATCTATTAACACCGCTATTGTAATGGCAACCATAAACTCAGGACAAGGATTTGCTAATAGGCAAAGACGCAATAGTTGAAATTAAGTGTCCTCAAAGTATAAAGGAGTATACACCAGAAGAAGCTGTAAATAACAAAAAATTAAAATATATATGATTTATAATGATGAAAAACTAATATTAAAAAAAAATAATTGTTACTATTTCCAAGTACAAGGACAACTCAATATTACAAAACGAAAATGGTGCTATTTTGTAGTGTGGACGCCCAAAGGTAACTTATACTTTTTAATTCATTTTTTATTTCAAATCAACATAATCTAATATTTTATATTTTTTTATAGGTTTTGTAGTTGATAAAATATTAAGAGACGAAGAATTTTGGAAAAATAATATTGAACCCCAATGCACAAAATTTTATATGGAATCTTTAGTACCAGAAATTATAGATTCGAGATTTGATCGAGGGTTACCTATAAGATCTGGTTTACCGGAACCATAATATTTGTATATATATTTTTTTAATATACTTTCTAAATTAGGCTTTATACCTACCTAAAATAAATAGAAAATTCTTGTTTTTATAATAAATATATTTTTTAATTATTAAAAATTAAATTGTGAAGGTTTTTTCCGTAAAGCTAAAAAGACGTGTGTACAATGGACGTCGAACAATAATAATATAGAATGTAGAATACAGCGTAATGCGTATGCGGGTATTTACGTAATTATTATTACCGTGTATTACTATACAGTGTTGTTATGGTTATTTGTCAATTAGCAGATAAGATGTAGAGTGGGTAGTACCTGGTGTAGGGCAGAGACCCGTACACATACTAATAATCATTTACTACGCACACAGTTACAAATGACTTACGCACGCACTTTAAATATTGCCTATACCCAACTCCTTAAATATACACCATCACCGATCCCCTTAACGTTTTTTTTTTATATATATTTCATGTATTAGGTTCATAATATTATTATTTATTTATTTATTTATTATAATATTAATATTATAATTAAGAGCCACGATGAGATGCATTGAGTGGAATGTCACCATTCAACATTGGCATATGCTTTGGAGGATTGCATCTAAAGCTGCATGGACTAGCCGCCTTGTCCCAGATGCCGGGAGGTGGGCTGAGAGGACCCTCTCGAAGATACAACTGACGTTTCACACGACATAGACACAGACGGGTCACGGCTGTTTTCAGTACTTCCTCCACCGCATGAGCAGAGCCACTAGCTCATACTGTGTGTACTGCCCCAGCACCTCGGACACACTTTGTTCAAATTCCCGAGGTGGGACGCAATGAGGGCTGATGTACACGCGCACTTTAGGGGTCCTTTGACCGCAGAGGATATGCCAGATTTACTCTGTGGACCTGTGGTTTTGGACCTTCCCACAGACATGTAGGTACATAGTGAATAATGCAGGATTATAAAGAAAAAAATGATCTCTTTGTACCTTCCAATAAAATTAATACAAAAAAATGCCTTATAAATTATGATGTATAATTTGGTAGGTATATGAAATGAAAATTTGTAACTTGGATACTACAATGGAAAATGTTTTGAAGTTACTCATGCAGCATTCTTGATTAGGTATATATTAATCAAAAATTAATACACCTTAACTTCCTCAAGGTGCAAAATAATAAATTTTATTTCGCCACATTTTGACCCAATTATGAGCCCCTAGCATCAAGACTGTATACAAATTAGTGGTTTTCAGTTAGCCATTACGTTTAAAATGGACATTAATATTATATATAGAGATGTAAGCTCGATAAATTACCGGTAAATGACTGGTAAACTAACCAATTATTTTTTTACAAAAAAAATTAGCATGTGGCGGCACCTCAAATTAAACGTCTTCGCGGGGCCAATATTCATCAGTTATAACATACCTATTAATAAAATGGAATAGTTTATATAAAATGTAAAACGTCCAAAACCACTGACAGTGTAGTACCTACATATACTACATAACATTAAACATACGAATACACCATAAGAATATCTGATACGATGATCAATTTATTATGGAAATTAATATAAATTTGATTTTATCACAGATATAGATAATAAACCAAGTTTATAATATTAGTAATGTTAAACTTTTCAAGGCTTTGAGGCATCGGTTAAGCTTCTCTGAATATTTTTAAATGTTCTATACATAATTTTAGTATTTTTTACTCATATTATAGAACTAGAACACCAGTCACAAAGTTTAAAAAATTTAAAAATGACGACCAGGGTGGTTGATTGAACACCTTATTATCCAGTAAATAAAAAAAATAAATGTTACCACAATTATGAATTCATAGAAATGCGGCACAGAGGAGTTTCTGGGAGTGTTCACAATTTACAGTAAATTTACGTAAATTTTTCTAGGTAAATTACCAAAAAAAAAATGGACGTAAATTTTACATCTCTAATTATATAATATAAGACATAACACAATTAGTAATAATACGTCATAATAATATGTGATATTACCAAACAAAAACTACTACTTATAGTCAATTATTTTATTAATTAAAATAAATGAAAACGTATTTTAGACAAGTTGTGTAATCATCACAAACATACAATAATTGGATAACTTATATCAATAAATATAAAATTAAATAATGATATGAAATAAATACTACACAAACACGTTGCGTCATTGATTTCATCACCCAAAAATCCATTTAGAGTTATTATATTGATATTAGAAAAGTGTAAAAATACTTTTATTATGGGCATTCATGTTGCACTTTTTTTATTATTTTAAATATAATTAATCAAATTTATGAAAAATTATTTAAAGGAGGATTCTTCGCCGGATAAAGGTGTTTTCGAAGTAGAATAGGATTTATGCAGTTGTTCATCACTTTTTAATTGACGATTAAAAAACAAACATTCACTTTGTGGCACATACTTGTCCACTGTTTTCATAACTGTTTCCGGGAAGTCTCCAGCTACCATTCTAGTTTATAAGATATAAGTCGTAGTATGATAAATATTTCAATACAAAGTGAAAAATAAAAATCATATTTTTATCTTACTGTATTATATCTTCTGGGAAACAACAATTTATCGCCTTGATGACCTGAAATAATTCTGAATTTATCTCTGGGTTAATATTTTGGATCATTTTCAAATGGCCATTAGTAATAAAAGTGCGTCGTGCTAGAGAATTTTTAGGTAATATCTGTAATACATTCAACAATAATAATTAAATTTAACAACCATGGAACTGGAGTTCATTTTCTAAAAAAGCAATAATCCAATGTTAATTTTATATTTGTATGTGTACCAGGTACCTATTTATTAATTTAGATTAATTTTGTTATTGATTATTATAATAGGTTATATACATAGATAACTTTCAAATCTTACCAACATTTTCAAATTAAGTAAGTACCTTACATCATTACATGAGTATTCCATAAAACTTGTTTAGTAAGAAAATAATTAAATTTAACGTGAGACATTTGTTATGGGTATGAATAAATCGTAAGTACACATAATAATAAATTGTCTAATACTCTAATAATGTTAAATTAATCACATTATAATATGTGATTTCATGTGAGACTAATAATATAATAATTATAGACAAATATGAAATAAAATGTTAATTAATAAATAATTATTACTATGCTTATTTTTTCAAGTATGTATATCATTATTTCGGTAGGGGTTGAAGGTATTAATAATTTGTCTAGTACATTATAATCATCGCATTTTTTCAATATTTGTTCTAG